CCCCCCCCCCCCCCACACACACACACATACACATGACTGGCCTACAAAAAAATGGCTTATAAATTTCTCATTGTGCGATATTATTAACAAATATTTGATTCAGTCTTGGCTTCTTTCATCATTATGGTGAACATTTCCAAAAATTAGAAAGGATTTCCAAGGGTTAAAAACCCCTCAGGCCCATGACAGCTATGTAATTCCTAGCTTTTAGTTCAGCCCCCTCTTCTAAAAATGCAAATTTATGAATGACGCAGGCAGTGGATTCCTGCATGTGCAGGAGCTCATTAAAGGGCTTTTCTCCTGTGAGAGAATCTGATTGTTCAGTAGTAAGTGGGTGTGTCACTTGACATATAAAAACGTCGAGTGAGTTCATTTTGACGTAAACTACTAGTCAGGGAATCTCATCACCCATCTGTCCTAGTAACTCTTATCGGTAAGATCAATTCACTTTTTGGTGTAAATCAAAGTACTTATAAAAAGAGATTAACTATTAACTATAACCATATTGCATCTTTTGAAAGGTAAAAAATTACAAACAAATGATCGTGTTTAATCTCATAATTAATATGTCTTAGATCGTTGCGTCACTGAAGGAAATGTCTCTCCGTGGGACTGTCGCGCTCCTGCTGTTCCTCGCGTGTCTTTCACAGCTCACCTTAGCTGCTGACAGCATTAGAGGAGCGAGGAGGAAAGGACGGAGGCTGGAGAGCCGAGGTGGTAAGAACATGTCCGTACACAAAGGATTGTTTAAAACCAAGAGCAAGGCGCAGTGCTTGTGGGTGGCGCGCGGAGAGGACAACTACACCATGACTGTTACATGTAAGCGTGGAGACGAGGATGGATTCAGCTGTAAATACACTGCCAAGCCCGCGACGTGCACCGAATATGGGTCTAATCCCTTGGGCTATTGGAAACAGATCGCTAAATCAGTTAGAAGGCAGAAGAAACTTTGCGCGGATCCGCGCGCACTGATCCGCGCCGGTATGTGCAAGCGTGCGCCGCTGGACGCGCATTTCAAACTCATCGAAACGTCACAAGAGAAACCCCCCACAGAGAAAACACCGACAACCACGAACACAACGCGCCGGTGCACGGAGCGCACTGACCACAGCGAGGTCGCCAAAGAGATGTGCGGGGATTCCTGGGCGAGTCTCTGCGCGTTTGTCTTTACTATAATCCAGAGCGGAGACTGCTGAGCACGTGTATCATAAACGTTTCTCGGTACTTTTGTTATTGGATACTACTGATAGTTCTGTTTAAGGTGTAAAACATCACGTATTTTATTGTAAACACAGAAAAATGCACTGTTCTCATTCTGACATTTGGGAAGGTGGATCAAGATGCCAAGATGGAGTATTCGTTCCCACCACTTTAGTAGTAGTTTTTGCCTTGACCATAGTGGCACAAAATGTAATCTTAAGACATTTATTCAATGCGTATACAGTTTTTAATGTTGGCATTTACTGACATTTGGGAAGGTGGATCAAGATGCCAAGATGGAGTATTCGTTCCCACCACTTTAGTAGTAGTTTTTGCCTTGACCATAGTGGCACAAAATTTAATCTTAAGACATTTATTCAATGCGTATACAGTTTTTAATGTTGGCATTTCATTGGAGAATAGTGAGATGTCTATTTATATTATGTTGGATATTAAAACTTTTTATTTATATTTATTAAAAGGGCATTTGAGGGATTTAGGCAAAGTAAATATGATGTTTTTACTTTGAAGTGAAAAGTTTCAGTAGACCCTTAGGGTACGATGACCCCCTCAGGGACTGAAGGACCCCAGTGGCTTTTTGTTGTTAGTATAAATTTCATGATTATCATAAATCAGTTGTTTTATATATAATTCAATGAGTTTGATTTTAACAAGGGGCAAGATAGGCCCTTTAAATCATTTTCAATTTTGTGCTTTAACAGCTAAATTATTTCTCATAATAATAATAATAATAAATTGGATGATGCTTCATCCTCACTATCATCTTCATAATCATCTCGTTTTCATATCCATGTTAAACGTTTTCAGCAAATGTACATTATTTTCTTCAGTCTACTATAAAATACATGACACCTATTGTATTGCATTGTATGTATTTATGACATGCAAAATAAATATGTTTATGTATCTGTGTTAAAAGAGGTATTACCCCGTTCTTGTGAAATGGCCACAAGATATTTTACTACAATACAAGCTTGATTTTTAAAATACAGCTTTGAGGCAGAGATGCTTGACAAATACAGCATTTTTATTTGGGAATTTTGAAGTGATATAAAGTTAAACCACGCAAATAGCAAAAGATGAGCCTAACAGGAGATAAACCTTATCCTAAGTTTAACCATAAGAACCTTCCTATTCCTGGAAAGCTTTTGAGGAAGTTGTCAGAACCTAATATTCTAAAAACCCTCCCACACACTCACTCACTCACTCACTCACTCACTCACTCACTCACTCACTCACTCACACACACACACTCACTCACTCACTCACTTTCATTGTCTGTGGAGCAACAGAAGAGATAAGATAACCACAGATTCCAAACAGGTCTCTCTCTCTCTCTCTCTCTCTCTCTCTCTCTGTGTGTGTGTGTGTGTGTGTGTACTGGTATTACCTATGTTATGGGGACCAAATATCCCCACAAGGACAGTGATACCAGTAAATGTTTGACCTTGTGGGGACATTTTTCTGGTCCTCATGAGGAAAACAGCTTATAAATCATACAGAATGAATTGTTTTGAAAATCTAAAAATGCCTGTAGTTTTGTGTGAGGAGTAGGCTTAGGGTAAGGGGAGAGAAAATACAGTTTGTACAGTATAAAAACCATTATGCCTATGGAATTAACCCATAAAACATGGAAATACAACGTTTGTGTGTGTGTGTGTGTGTGTGTCTGGTGCACCTCACATATTACACTTCACAGTGTGTGCTGTTCCTTTCATCAGTTTCACATCCAGTCTTACACAAAGTCTTTGGAAATGTGCCTACTGTATATGTGTTTAAAGGCTTGGCTATTGATTAGGCTGGACAATTTCGGTTTTATATGATTTTTATTATTTTATAAAGGAACAAGAGTGTTTTAGAATAAAGGTACCTTTTTAAAATCATTATTTTTTAGAAATCATGTTTGAAAACACTTTTACGCTAATGCACTGCAGCTATGTGTATAATAAGTCTCTGATTGGGTGACAATGTTTTATTCATTTATAGTTTTCTATGGTGATATGACAGCACATACAGGGTGTTATAATTTGTAATTATATATTCATGACTGTATAAAAGAATGACTGGGTGAAGTTTTTCTAACTGTAATTACCAGATAGCTTTGATCTCCTCTGTAAGTAACACAAAAGATTACATATTAACCATAGACAGGAAGTCAAATTATGAATACACAGTGACGAAGTGTTACTTTGCCTCCAAAACAAATGTACATTATAGCATTACCCTTGCCTTTTTGACCCCAAAGGATGATTTGTCACGTGTTGATATGATGTCATATAAATGGAATGTATTAGTTACCTCACAAATCATGGTCAGTACAGACCCCAAACTTTGAACAGTATAGAATACATAACCAAAATAACAGTGTGTTAGGCATGTATTGACACCCTGAACATGTGAATGGCATAGGTTTATTTCTCACTTTTATTTTTCATCACCATATTTCATTATTTCATTCTGTAAATGCAAGAACCTGCAAAACACACACACACACACACACACACACACACACACACACACACACATTAATGCCAAGAATGCTGTTATAAAGGCAAAGTATCAATGACGATTTCCAGCTTCTACTCAGATTTGTTCAGTCACACACACACACACACACACACACACACACACACACAACACACACACACACACACA